TAACTACATGATTAGAAGAAGCATTTCATTACAGCTTTAACATATTCAGTAACAATTTCCAGAGCTAAGATGCATCTCTTTCAATATTGTCTGTAAATTTTTAGGTTCACAGTTGAATTTATACAGTTGTACAATATTGAACTCAGTATAAGCCCTGTAAGACATAAAATTGAGTGAGTTTTTAACCTTTAAAAAAGATCTCCATTTCATTCTACAATATACTGTTTTTTACAGAAAGACTCATTGTTTTTGCTACTAACACTGAGATGTTGGCGCATGCGTCTCTAATCTGTATGAATCTAATTATTACTACTCATAAGCTTGGCGCCTGTGTATGTCTATAAAGTCATCGGGTAGATTTTAATGGTAATGTTCATCACCTCTACTAATTAGCATTATGTAAACTTTTATGCTTCCTCCTCAAATATAATAGATTTTTTAATTTGTTGATTTTTTTTCTGTATGTGTATATCAGAACATCCCAAACCATCTTATTCAACTATATACCCACTTCCCAGATAGCCCCCTCCCATAGCCTCCCTCCCACCACTAGAGCTCTTATACTCTGATATCTTTGCTACTGTCTGCTGTGTTGTCGGCACCCCAGCCCTTCCCCACTACTTGCCCTTCTGGTAAATCTAGTCAGCCTATCTAGAGGGCTTTGTTTTAGGAGGGTGAGCTGTTCCTCATCTAGCAGTAATTAGTTGTCAGTATTCCTTTACATAAGATTGGGGTCTGCTGTTCATTTTCCCAGTTCTATGCTAAGTTACTATCAAAGAGTCCTTTGGGTCACCCAGGTCAACAACTCAAAAGAAGGTATCTCCTATCTGGTATTGTTGCTTGTTATGTAGCCTTTACCAATACATATGGACTCTTAAAAAATTATATTGACCCCTTTAATATTTGGTTATACTTTCCTTTTGGGTGTTTAAGGCCATACAGTTAGCCCAGATAAACCAATTTATTTTTACTCTTAAGGTCGTTTGAGGATCTGTTCCTCGGGGGTCACATGGGCTTGGGAGGAGCCCCTGGCTCCTTTCTTTTACCAGTTCTGCCTATGTGAAGATAAGTCAAAGGTCCTGCTCAACCATGGTTGGCTTCGCTTGGAAGCATGGAGGAAATGATTCCTCTGTGTTGACCTTCTTCTTTGTAGACTGGACACTGGTTCATGTCCATCTTGTGGGGTCTCCTCAGCCTCCTTGATAAAAAGGACAGGTGACCCACCACAATTACAGGACATTTGGGGAGATGATTATAGTTGCCTGGAACTACTCGACCTTGGAGGGCAAGGAGCAGAAACTGTCCTTTATGACCCTCTGACCAAATTAGTATAGGCCTCAAAGTATGTCTGTTAAACATCCAAGAAGGTTAGTTCCACCAGTCTGGTACTTTTAATTACTGTGTATTGTGTAGATAAATCTTTGGCAAAGACCAATTGTTCTCAGATAAACCTCACCTAGACATATATTTCTTGATCTTCTATGTATAATTTGTCAGTATGTTGCTGGACTAATATGGTTCCCTCTGGTTTTTAAAACTAGCTAGCCATTATTTAGCTCTTGCATCGTCTAACCCCTACATCATGGTTTTCCCACTTAAGGTGCCCCCATTTCCCCCCTTTCTCCCTTACTAATACCCTTCTCCTACGGTCCTACCTCTCTTGAGCTCCTTCTTTCCCTTTATCCCCTAGGTTCTTTGTATACCCTTCCCTCCCCCCTCCCTTAAACCAATCCAATTTTTATCCTTATCTCCTTTATTAAGGCCTGTTTCCCTACTGTTCTTCTCTTTCAGGTTCTTTTCCTTTACTTCCCTGGTTCCTTCTCATTATCCTGGTTCCTGTAGTTATGCCTGGATACATAATCACTTATCAGGGTTTGGTTCTAGGATCCACATATGAGGGAGAACATACGTCGATTTTTTTTTTCTGAGTCTGTGTTACTTCACTTAGTATAACAGTTTCTAGTTCCATCCATTTACCTGCAAAGTTCATGATTTCATCTTTCTTTACTTCTGAGTAAAATTCTGTCATATAAAGGAACCACATTTTCATTATCCACTCGTCAGTTGAGGGACACTTAGGTTGCTTCCATCTCTTGGCTTTTTG